TTGCGGTTCTGAGGGTTAGAAATTTGTGAGTGGTTTAGCTAGGTGGTTCTGTCTCAGGCTCCCTCATAATGTTGGAGTCCAAGGTGTTGACCATGGCAGTAGTCATCTGAGGCTTGATGGAGACTGTAAGATTCATTTTCAATATGGCTCCCTCACATGGCTCAGGAGGCCTTAGTTCCTTGTCATATGGGCCTTTCCATAGGGCTCCCTTAGTGTACTTGTGATATGACAATTGGCTTTCTTCAGAGTGAATGATCCATAGATAAGCAAGGTGGAAATAATTTCTTTTATGAGGTAGCCTCAGAATTCATATACTGTTGTTTCTGCGACATGCTAGTCATAAAAAGTGAGTTATTAACTCTGGGCACCACTGAAGGGGAATGGAATTTAGCTTTACCGTTTGAGGGAAGATTGCCAAGTAATTTGTGAATATATTTTAAAACGCCACTCCACATGATTATATGTTATTAGGAGACTGATGACAGGTAAATTTCACTATGAGTTTTTTAAATTGTTGCTATATTTTTTCTATGTTAAAGAAATTCTAAGTTCTGAAGTAACATAGATACTGGTAATATGGTTTTTATGTTTTGTTAAAGATTTATGTATCCTTAATTTATCTACTAATTGAGATTATTTTAAAGGGTTATTTTTTGAAAATCTTAAAAGTTTTTATAATTTTGTTTCTCTTTTCAGGGCACCAACATATCATTGAATTATTCCCAACTTTGTCCTATTGTTTTTCTTTCTGACTCCCTATTTTAAGAAAATATGTTTTGCATGCCAATTATAGAAATGTGTTTATTTAAATAAATGGCTTATTTTTTCCTCTCAGCCGATTTGAATAGGATGCACAGACAAAATATAGATGCCTACCATAACCCAGATGCAAGAACATATGAAGATAAAAGGGCTGTTGTATCTCTAGACCCAAATTTAGCCACTTCAAATGCTGAGAACCTAGAAGATGCTGCAAATAAAAGCTCAGGTTTTTAATCACTTTTTTTTTTTTTTAACAATTCTGAAATTGTTCAGTAACATTTATGTTCTTTGACTAAGTTCTTCTTACTGGGATCTTGAGAACTTGGCTGCTCTGATACAGGAAGTGTAACACACGATTCATAAAATATCTTTTCTTCATAGTTACTTTGAAAAAAGGGTGAATGGGGAAAGGTTACTTCTTACTACTGTGTTTCTTAGCTTTGTAACTTGCTGTGTATCCTTTAGCTGCTGCTAACATTTTTATTTTGCTAGTGGGGGACATTTCTTAAAATCAAACACTCTTTTTACACACATACACTATTTGCATCTTATATCCATAGCTGTTTGAATTAGTGAAAAACTGTCATTGTGATATGATAAATTGTACAGGGAAATTCATTTTTTGCTTGTTTTAGTAATTATTTACCCTCCCTTGTAAAACAACAGTATACAAAGAAATGAAGCAACGTGTGTGTGTTTTTTTTTTTTTTTGAGACGGGGTCTCACTTTGTTACCCAGGCTGGAGTGCAGTGGCATAATCTCAGCTCACTGCAGCCTCCATCTCCAGGTTCAAGCAGTTCTCTACCTCAGCCTCCCATGTAGCTGGGATTACAGGTGCCTGCCACCACCCCTGGCTAATTTTTGTATTTTTAGTAGAGGTGGGGTTTCACCATCTTGACCAGGCTGGTCTTGAACTCCTGACCTTGTGATCCATCCGCCTCCACCTCCCAAAGTGTTGGGATTACAGGCAGGAGCCACCGCCTGGTTACATGCCTCTTAACTACTTATCTTTGATTTACTATTAATATCCTTTAATCAAAAATTCTGTAAGATGAAAATTATTCAGTATCTTTTTTTATGACATACCAGGAAAAGTTGTCAAGTATATGTTAAATTGTGTTACATATTTAAAAATAAAGTTTAATACACCACCTCACACTATATTTTGATGCCTATAAAACTGGCCATTTATTCATTACAAAATTTGACTTTGTGCTTTCACAGAACTTTTGATTTTAGACTAGAAAAGAACTTTTCATTAGGAAGTTCTAAAATATTTGTGACTGATCATTCAGTCTTTTTTGTTGTTGACCCTTATTTTTGGCTAAACAGATAAGTGAAATGGGGAGCTGTGATTAGAGTCATACCCCTGCATCTTTCAAGGCTTTGATGGTGGCACACGTATCTGTAGCCTTTTTGAACACTTTAAGAGGTGGATTATTTACTGTTTTCATGGGAAACTTGTACCAGTGTTTTCTTATTATGAGAAAATGCTTTATTTGTTCTACAATAGATTTTATTGGATCCAATTTTGATTTTTAGAGCACTAAAATTGGAACCTTTGATTTCGACAATATTATTGATTTGGCTCTTTTAATTTGTAATAGTGTGTGGTAAGAACATCAAAACACCTTTTCATATTATTGCTGCTAAGAGAGAAATTTGACTTATTTCTGATATTTTTCTCATTTGCTGCTGCTTCTAGTAGTCTGTATTGAGATCTCAGTGCCATAAAGAGTCTTTCTTTACCCTTTTTTTCTATACGTGGTATTGTTTGTAGTTCTGGCTCAGCCTAGAACTTTCTCTATCTTAGTAATAACACTTTTTAGCCATCTAGCTTTGCACACCAAGCAAAAACACCAGAAAATCAACAGTTTCCATGACCCCTTCCCAAAAGCATAAGCCTGATGATTAAACATGCACAGCAAAATTTGTTGCCTATAACCTTTCTGTACCACTGCCAGGTTTTTATGCTGGTGTTGTTACTAGGATGTTCTGTTTAAGAATTGAATTAAAAAAACCATAAAATGTTTAAAACTTCCCTTTTTTGTGAATTGAAATTCCCTAAGTTAGACTTTCCTTCTCTAAGAATTAATTAATTGGCTGGGCGCAGTGGCTCACGCCTGTAATCCCAGCACTTTGGGAGGCCCCGAGGCGGGTGGATCATGAGGTCAGGAGATTGAGACCATCCTGGCCTACGTGGTGAAACCCCGTCTCTACTAAAAATACAAAAATTAGCTGGGCATGGTGGCACGCGCCTGTAATCCCAGCTACTTCGGAGGCTGAGGCAGGAGAATTGCTTGAACCTGGGAATAGGAGGTTGCAGTGAGCTGAGATCATGCCACCGTACTCCAGCCTGGTGACAGAGCGAGACTCTATCTCAAAGAAAAAAAGAATGAATTAATTAATCTAAAATAAACTTTCTCAATGCAAGAAATGATTCAAATCTACCTAATTTTGTGCTATGCCATATATATGTATATGAGTGCGTGTGTGTGTATGTATGTACACACACACATATCTTTGCATATATGTAGCATTTGATATTTTAAAAGCCTGAAGGAACTTGAATATAGCTGAAAATTGAATGTTACAACATGTGTTTAAGTTTCCTTATCATCTAATATTTTATCTTCATTAGGTTTGTTTCTGATGCCCTTTATAATGTTCATTATTTTTTCTTTTACTTTATGGTTTTTAGATGAGCTGTGGCTTATGAAGTCTAATACGAATATGGCTTAAATTTACTTTTTTGGCTTATTATCATGCCAAGATACATTTCTGCTTTCTTTGTATATAGCAAGTGTTTCGCTGTGGTTTTCCTTTTATAGTTTATTCATTTCTAAAAGGACTTCTCTTGTCTGTCTCTAATAATATTTCTTCTCTAATTGCCCCAAAGGTTTAGAACAGGAGTGAGCATCATGGTGAAACATGCTACTCAAGTTTGTTTCCACCACAGCATAACATTTAAAATAGCCTTCAAGGTGTTTTCAGTAGGAAAATTTTCTAGTGGAAAAAAGTATTCATAATGTTTAAGTATTGATTTGGCTTTCTGCCAGTCTGTTCAAATAAGCATTAATACATTTAAATACAAAAGCAAAATAGACCTGAGTGGTAGCTGAACTGCAAAGCAGTTTGCCTATACAAAACTACATGCGAGAAATACATGCTTTAGGCTGGGCGCAGTGGCTCACGCCTGTAATCCCAGCGCTGTTGAAGGCCAAGGTGGGCGGATCATCTGAGGTCAGGAGTTAAAGACCAGCCTGGCCATGGTGAAACCCCTAAAAATACAAAAAAAAAAAAAATTAGCCAGGCATGGTGGCACACGCCTGTAGTCCCAGCTACTCGGGAGGCTGAAGCAGGAGAATCACTTGAGCCCAGGAGGCAGAGGTTGCAGTGAGCGGAGATCATGCCACTGCACTCCAGCCTGGGTGACAGAGCAAGACTCTGTCTCAAAAATAAAGAAAAAAGAAATACATGCTTTAGTTTAATGGTATAAAGAATGAGTCAGAAACTCAATATAAAAAGTTATGTGAGGCTTAAATTTAAATGTCATTTTTTTTCCTGTCTGCATTCAGAGAGACTCTAAGGGTATAATTGTTTTTCGAATTGCTTTTATGAAATAATTTTTTTCCATTCCAAGAATATACGATACTATTTATAGGTAATATATAATAAAAAATTTTTGTTCATGTTTATATCTCATTAATTTGATAGTTTTAAAAATAAAAACTATTACAACAAGACACATTCTAATTTGTTAAATATGTTTTTCAAAGCTGACTTTCTGTTCTGTCATTTAAACTGTTGGGAAGAATTTTGAAATTACTGATTTTTAAAAACAATTTTATATGTTATTAAGCAATATTCTTAAGTAAAGGATATTCACATACTGAAGAATATAAATATGTACTTTTTTTCTCTCCATAAATTCTATTTTAAAGCCTTTGTTGCAATGAGGGTTGTTTAAGCTGTTAGCTTTTATGTTTACTTTGTATCTTTCAGGTATTATTTGATTTTGTTAACTGTTAATTTTATTTTAGTTTTACCATTTTTCTTTCTCTTACTACTGTTCACCTGATCTTCAGATTCTAATCTCAACCTTCCTCTTCTGATTTTAATCTCTGGACTTTTTTTTTAAAAAAAAAATGAATTTATTAGCAAACTGTTCATTCTTTAACTGTTACATTTTCTAAGCATTGGCTAATAGTATGTTTTTGCAAAATGTTTCTTTCAAGGTCATATGCAAACACAGAGCTCTCCTTTTGCTCGGGGAAATGTATTTGGTGAGCCTCCAACTGAACTTCAGATTAGACAGCAAGAATTATACAAGAATTTTCTTCGTTTTCAGGTGAAATGCTATTTGATCAGTTTCAAAGTTTCATGAAATTTTAATAAACAAAACTTGCAAAGATTTTCTCCAGGATAAATACTAAATTCTAAAATGCCATACTTTTATCTAAAATATCTAATTTATATCAGATCAGATACCAGTAGTACAAAAGTTATTATTTCATTTCCTTGTTTCAAGGAAATAAGCAGATGTATTAAGTATGGTAGTTGACTTAATCTTTATTTTATTAAATCATTAATTTGTTTTATTTTTTTGAGATGGAGTCTTGCTCTGTCTACCCAGGCTAGGGTGTAGTGGTGAGATCTTGGCTCACTGCAACCTCCGCCTCCTGGCTTTAAGTGATTCTCCTGCCTCAGCCTCCCAAGTAGATGGGACTACAGGTGCCTGCCACCACACCTGGCTAATTTTTTGTATTTTTAGTAGAGACAGGGTTTCACCATGTTAGCCAGGATGGTCTTGATCTCCTGACCTCATGATCTGCCCGCCTCGGCCTCTCAAAGTGCTGGGATTATAGGCATAAGCCACCACACCCAACCAATTTTCATATTTTTAATAGAGACAGGATTTCACCATCTTGGCCAGACTGGTCTCGAACTACTGACCTCAAGTGATCTGCCCACTTTGGTCCCCCAAAGTGCTGGGATTACAGATATGAGCCACCACGCCCAGCCTAAATCATTAATTTTAAATCTAAGAAGGCTGAGATTTCAAAAACTGACTTACTAAAATATTCATCTATTAGGCAGAGAATGCATCTTTCTAGATATTTGTAAGTTATTAGAAAATCAATATATTTTTTCCAAATGATTTGATATTCTTGACTTATTACAGATTGTAAATAAATAAAAATTAGATTTAAGATAATCACAGTTTACAATTATTTGCCCCATTTATGTATATAAGTAAGTAGCATTTAACATAGTAGAAATGCCCAGACTATTCCCAAAGGAAGACACTTGAACATCCGTTGTTTATGAAGCAAACAGACTTATTCCTATACTGGGTGTACCCTGGGCTGAGTCCTAAGGGTGGAGCCTGAGATGAATGTGAGATACTTGCCCATGAGGGACTCACAGTTTCTTATTTCCTTAACTCCCTCCCCTTCACACTCACACTTAGATACCAGTGTCAGATTCATCTTATGGCCTGGGTAATCCTCCTTTGATACGACTTTTCTCCTGCTATTCTTTACTCAAAATCTGGTGGTAGCTTTTCTTTGCCTACAGAAATTATCTCAACTCTTGAACCTAACATTTAAGGTTATATAATCTAACCCCAAACTCTTAAACAGATGCCCTCAAACATATCTTCTTTTTAATCCTAATTATTCTTGACTCTTAAATAAGGCAGTTACGTAATGGATATAGCCTTTAAGGATGATTGATATTAGGCTGAGTGTGGTGGCTCACACCTGTAATGCCAGCAGTTTGGGAGGCCAAGGTGGGCAGATCTCTCAAGCACAGGAATTTGAGACTAGCCTGGGCAACATGATGAGACCCCATTTCTACAAAAAATTAGCCAGGCATGGTAGTGTGTGCCTGTCACCCCAGCTACTCGGGAGGCTGAGGTGGGAGAATTGCTTGAGCCCAGGAGACAGAGGTTGCATTGAGCCAAGATATGCCACTTTACTCCTGCCTGGGTGACAGAGTGAAAAAAGGATGATTGATGTGACATCACTGTTTAAGGTACAATAACAGGATTAAAAAGACTGGAAGCAGGGACATTTTACTAGCGTGGGTGACAGTGGAAATTGATGGAAAGTCCTTTTTAAGGTTCAACAGAAACAATATAGATGTTGAATATGAGAGACTGGTATCAGAGGTCCCAATATTTTTCACTCAAGTCAGGTGGCAGCAAGTTGAGAGTTTGGAGTCCCTGTTGAACGTAAAGGACTGTGTGGTATATTGACCATGACAGCAGGTCAAAATTTAAGTACCACCTCTAATGCTTAGCAGTTCTTACCATGGTCTAAGGTAGAATTCAGCCAAAAAAATCTTACAATTGTATAGCCTTTTATTGTTCGTAAGATCCTTTTACATATAGTATCTCATCAAACCTCAGATTTCTCTGAGGGGTGTTTTATTATCTCTGTTTAATAACATACAACTAATACACAGACTAACAGGCTTGCCCAGGGTGTCAGAGCTAGCAAATTGTGATGCCATTGCTTGAATCCAAGTCTCCAGACTTTAAGTGTAATATCTATGGATATCACACTTCTATTTATAGGATTCACTAGGAAGTCTTTACCTCTAGAAAAGCTATGGTAATGGGGGAAGCTTTAACTATTTTAGTTTCAGCCTTCAGTTCTTCCACCCTGTCAACCCTCAATTTATCTGTGAATGGATTGCTTTCAGATGATGGTTTTTAAATTTTTCTTTCAGCAGCCGCTTAAAAATTTCTTCTCCCACCTCAGACAAAACCTAACATGTAATTCTAAGAAAATGTAAAATAGATCAATGATGTTTATTATTACCATCAAAAATATAATGTCAGATAAAAAGTATACAAAACTTTTGTTAAAACAAATATTATGAAATGTTCAAATCTGTGCACAAAGATGTTATGTAAAAGCTTTAGCCTGAGGTCTGTACAGGTAAGTTCTACAGTTAGCTCAAATTAATGCATCAGAAGTCTTTAGGCTGTTAACATTTGGTGAATATTAATAACACTTGTGAATGTTTGACATTTTTGATCACAGCTTTAAAAATAATTAACAAATAAAATATTTTTAAGAACTCTGAAGCAATTTTGTGTTATGTAATTGGAAAACCATGACAAGAAGATAGCTTTCCCTGCTTTCCAGACCAGAAAGCTGTTGAACAACTGTCTAGCATTCCTGTTGGCACTGAACTTTGGCTCCATTAGGTGTATGATCCATTAATAGCTTAAAAATTAGAATTCTTTGATTTTGATGGAGAAGTGACCCCTGTGGCAATGTGATTTTTTTTTTTCCCGTGGAGTAGGAAGAAGGGGGAACTGAGTATTGAATATGAAATTTTGATGAATTATAAATGATGTTTTCTTTAGGCGTATTGGACTTGAAGAAGTGATTGGATGCAAATTGCTAACTAAAAGTACTAAATATTAGGCTTGTGCATATTTAGTCATGTTGTGAGAAAGAAGTGTTAGAAAAAGCCCTAGTATATAAAATCATAGGATGTGTTAGAAGATTAAAGTTCTTTTTTTTTTTTTTTTTTTTTTTGGCAGAGTCTCACTCTGTCGCCCATGCTGGAGTGCAGTGGCGCAATCTCAGCTCACTGCAACCTCCATCTCCTGGTTTCAAGTGATTCTCCCATCTCAGCCTCCTGAGTAGCTGGGATTACAGGGACATATCACCACGCCTGGCTAATTTTTGTATTTTTAGTAGAGATGGGGTTACACCATATTGGCCAGGCTGGTTTTGAACTCCTGACCTCAGGTGAGCCACTATGCCCAGCCAGATTAAAGTTCTTATAGCTCACTTAGCAGCACTAGATAGAGCAACCTTGAAGCTAGAGGAAGTACAGAGAAGAAAAACAAAAATATGCTGAGTTGTATGATCCATACCTAAGGGTAACTAAAATCTGTTGATGACCTTAAACCAGAGACATGAATACCTGGTTCCAGTGCTGCCATTCTTCCCTGCCTCATTCACTGGGGGTGTGGACTATCTCTCTCTTAGAGCCTTCTTTCCTTCAAATCTTAGGCTCTAGATTTCCTTCAAATCTTAGGCTCTAGAGTACTCAACACTGCAGACTCCGGGTAGCATTCAAGATGAAACTTAATTATGAGTCCTTGTGACCTAAATCTTCCTCCACCTAATAGTTTCAGTTCTTTCTCCATTAACCTCTATAGTTAGGAAAGAACAAAGGGCATTTGGGAGAAGCGGCTCTTGCATTAAAAAATGATTGAATACTAAAATACTAATTTCACTGTTATTTTAGAATAATAATCAATTCTAAGAATTTTGACATATAATAGCAGCAATCACTATAAAATAATATAATCATGAATTAGTTGCTTAGAACCTTCTATATAGGAGGAACTTTTATGTTCCTTACATTGTTTCACTTTAATTCTTTTAGCACTCCTTTGAGATGTAGGCATTAATAACTTTACCAGAAAAAAGAGAAAACTGAGGACAAGCAAGTTTCTTAAGGTCACACAGTCTGTTTGGTGGAATTGGAATTTAACTCAAAGCTTTTAACAGTACAGTAAATCATGTAGCCTCCCTGAAAATACAGGATACTGAAAAATTTAGGAACATGCAAAAAGAGGGTACAAATGTTGAGTTTGTATGCTATCAGAAAAAAAAAATAAGTGATATTCTAACTTTTCAATAGTTTTACAAGAGAAATAACTAGGTTTAATTTTTTAGATTGAGGAAAAGAAACAAAGAGAGGAAGCAGAGCGAGAGAGACTGAGAATTGCCGAAGAAAAAGAAGAAAGACGGCTTGCAGAACAGAGGGCACGAATTCAGCAGGAGTATGAAGAGGAACAGGAAAAGAAAAGGGAGAAAGAGGAGGAGGTACATCTTTTTTCCCTATTGTATTTTACTACTTAGTCTGAAGGTGAAATCTTTATTTTGACTTGAAAAGGTGTTTGTTACTTACAAAGGAGAACAGTGTTGGAGTACATTTAGAAAATATGAGATCACTATCCATTCATTGGATATTATTTTATTAAGGTGAAAGGGTAATTTAAGAAAGGAGATAAGTGATGACTTTAAAAAAATAGATGTAGGCTGACTGAAGACTTTATAAAAGATGCCTAATATTTTATTTTTAAGCAGACAGCTTGTGTTAAAGAACACCGTATCATGTCATCTATATCTTTATCTCATTTTATCAGAAAAATAAGGCAGCACATTTTTGAATGTACTGTAGAAAGAATATACGGAATGCATATTTTTCTATTTTAAAGCAAAGGCTAAAAAATGAAGAGCATATTCGGTTAGCTGAAGAAAGACAAAAAGAAGCAGAAAGAAAGAAGAAAGAAGAAGAAGAAAAATATAACCTGCAACTTCAGCACTACTATGAAAGAGATAATTTGACTGGGGAAGAAACAAAGGTAAGTTTCAGACAAAAATGTCAATCAAACCCACAGTTTAACCCACTTTCACTGTGAGAGTTGTGTAGTCGTTAGAAAAGCAGAAAAAGAGGAGGAGGTGCCTTTGTTCCTGTTCTGTCTTAGTGTGTAATCTGGGCACAATGTACTGAACTTTCTATATGATTGTACTGTCACTGTGCTTTGTTGGTATTTTCTGTCCATTGAAGGTAATGAATTTACTTACTTCAGCCATTCTTAATCTCGTTCCCATGGTGTATGTGGCGCCACCTAAGAATATGGTATGCAGACAGTACAACATGAACTGTTTGTTATAGTTCATGACAAGACTAATACAGAAGTTCAGAGTGGATTTTTTATATATATGTGTATATATATATATTCTTTTAAGCAATTCTCCTGCCTCAGCCTCTCAAGTAGCTAGGACTACAGGTGCACACCGTCATGCCCAGCTAATTTTTGTATTTTTAGTAGAGACAGGGTTTCACCATGTTGGCCAGATTGGTCTCAGACTCCTGACCTCAGGTGATCCGCCCACCTCTGCCTCCCAAAGTGCTGAGATTACAGGAGTGAGCCACCACGCCCGGCCTTCTTTCTTTTTTTTTTAAGAGACCAGGTCTTGCTATGTTGCCTAGGCCGATCTCAAATTTTTGGGCTCAGGTTGTCTTCCTGCCTCAGCCTCCCAAAGTGGTAGAATTGCAGGCATGAGCCACCGCACCCTGCCTCACAGATAATTTTTTATTGTAAAATTCATCATTTAAGAATGAAAGAGGCTGGGCGCGGTGGCTCACACCTGTAATCCCAACGCTCTGGGAAGTCAGGGCGGGCGGATCACTTGAGACCAGGAGATCGAGACCAGCCTGAGCAGCATGGTGAAACCCCATCTCTACTAACAAATACAAAAATTAGCCGGGCGTGGTGACGGGCACCTGTAGTCCCAGCTACTGAGGAGACTGAGGCAGGAGAATCGGTTGAACTTGGGAGGCAGAGGTTGCAGTGAGCTGTGATCGCACCACGGCACTCCAGCCTGGGTGACAGAGCGAGACTCCATTTCAAAAAAAAAAAAAAAAGAATTAAAGAGAATTGTTAGTTTCCCATAATTATATTTCTTGCAATTTCTTATGTTTTTTAAAAATGTTGTTTTTTTAGCAGTATATACTTTTATGATGTTACAATTTAATTGTAAAGTACCATAAAGTTTTAAATCAGCTTTATCCCATTTAGTGCATTTGCCTTCCTGAAATTAATATTGCTATCTTTTTTTTATTTACGTATGTCTGATGTATATTTTTGTCTATTCCTTCAGTTTTACCTTTGTGTCACCATATTTTTCATTTAGTTAGCTTCTATATTTAGTTTGTTGAATTTTAAAAATCCTAATCTGAGTTATAAGTTTATATTTATTTATTTAGAGACAGAGTCTCGCTCTGTCACCCAGCCTGGAGTGCAGTGGTGCAATCTCGGCCCACTGCAACTTCCACCTCCCAGGTTCAAGTGAGTCTCCTGCCTCAGCCTCCCCAGTAGCTGGAATTACAGGTTCAAACTATCACACCTGGCTAATTTTTATTAGAGACAGGGTTTCACCGTGTTGACCAGGCTGGTCTTGAACTCCTCTCCTTAGGGGACTTGCCTGCTTGGCCTCCCGAAGTGTTGGGATTATAGACATGAGCCACTGCACCCGGCCTAATCTTTTTAAATAGGGATATCTAAATCTATTTATGTTTATCAAAACTAATGTCTTTGATTGCAATAATTGCATTTCTGACTTTGAGAGCTTTTTGGTCTTTTGTTATATGTACTATGGCTTGTTTGCTGCATCCTCTACAGGGCTTTAGAAGGTCTATGTTGTATTTATAATGAAGTTTTTGGACTATAAGGTTTAATACACTATAAACTGAAATGTAGAACCCCATTGTGATCTTGAAAAGTCCCTCATCCATGATGCTGTTAGTGATTAGATCTAGATCTTAGAGATTGATTTGTATTGTTTTCCAGAAGAAGGATTTTGTTATTTAATTTTTTTGTATTGTCATGGTATCTTCTTATTATTAAAGATGATTTAGTTTTGTTATATTTTTTCTTTTTTGTTGCTTTACTTGAGTTTGTTGATTTTTTTAAATCCTAATCTGACAATCATACTGTTTTAATAAAGATGTCTAAATCCATTTATGTTTATCATAACCAACATGTTTGATCTTACGTAATTGAATTTCTGACTTTTGTAAAAAACATTTTATTAAATAAAAGCAATAACAATCTAAACTTCTTAGATAACTTTCTTAACTATAAGGGGTGTGTGTGTGTGTGTGTGTATGTGTGTGAGTGTGATGAAGCAATTATGCTCTTAAATTTTTAAAAATTTTCAGCGCTTGAGACAGCCTTCTCCTATAGTTCCTGCCCTTCAGAACAAAATTGCAAGCAAACTCCAAAGACCTCCTTCAGTTGACAGCATCATACGTTCCTTTATTCATGTATGTACTTTCATTTTTATTTGTTCATCCTAGCTCAGTTATTTTGGATTGGGGGATTGAATGAAATTTTCTTTTTCGTTATATTTGGATAGGTTAAATTTTTTCAAATCTGAAATACAGGTGGTATCTACAGTAATTTGCTTGCTGCTTCGATTGTAACTGATAGTGCTTGGTGCCCTAAAGTTTCTTTTGACAAACTAGCTAGCTGTAGATATGTTCATGAAGTCTGTTATACTTTAGATTGAACTACAAGGAAAACATGGAAAATGTTCTAAGATTGATCCTCAAGTTGATGCTTGAAGAATATGCAGGAATTTGCCTTGAAGAGGAGGGTGAGGGATTTTCAGTTTGTGGGAAGTCGTGGAGAGCAATGTAAGCTCATGGCACATGTGGAGAATCTTCCATGGTGTGGTCTGGCCTGATGATGCCTGTGCATTAAGGCAGCAGAGGAAGTGGAGGTCAGAACATGTGTGGCATGCTGTATGGAGTGCTAAGAACTTTGATTTTGTTCCATAGGCTGGTAGATTCCAGACAGGCTAATTACCAGAATAGGTAAAGAAATGTGTCAGAAGAACATGTTTCTGAATCCCACCCTTTGAGATTCTGATTTAGTATGTCTGTGGTAGATAATGCATGGGAATTCATTGTAATATTTAAGTAGGGGAATGACATGGCCACTTTTGTATAATGTTTTTTCAGGCAATGGTGTGGAGATAAGTTTTGGAGGTGGGGCAAGACTAAACATGGAGATAAGATACTTTTGCAGAAGTCAAGATGTGAGACTGAGGACCCAAACAAAGGCAGTGACACCAAGAACTGAGAAGGTGTGACAGCTTTATGATACATTTAAGAGACATAGTAGTACTGTTTGTTGAGTGTGTGGTGGGTAGGAGTCTATGATAACTTTCAAGTTTTTGGTGAGGGTTGTATAGAGTAGGCAGTTGAAAATATGAATTGTGGCAGCAGAATGAGTTCTGGACTCGATTTGTAGTTCTGGACATCATCAACATATTGGTGCTTGTTAAATTAGTACCATTGTCTACGATGAGTGTCTACAAGAGAAGTAAAGGAGGCTGAGAATAGAATACTGGGGAATTACCAACATTTGAGAAGCAGGGAAAGGAACGGAGAGAGGGTGAGAGAGGATGGCAGTGGCGGCAGTTGCGACTGGCCAAGTAGAATGCTCACTGAATATGTCACTTGGGGGTCACTTCATGACTTTGGTGAGGGCAGTATTGTTGGAGTGATGGGTGTGAGAAAGCAAAGGCCATAGCTGTGTGTTGAGAAGTGAATGAGAATAGGCAGTAGACCCAAAAGTACTGCATTTACTGTTCTTTAAGGAAGCTCAGCTGTGAAAGGAAGGACAGAATGGACAGGAGACAGTGAGCAATGAAGGGTGAGGTAAAATTTTTTTTAAGAAAGGGAGAGGTTTTTACACATAGGCTGAGAGGAAAGTGCTTGGAGAGAGGAAGCTGGAAAAAAAGAATAATCGGAGGAGAATGGGAGTCAATTATCAGGTACAGAGTACAGATGAAGGAATTCTCTTTGGGTAGAGGCAAGGACACTTCCATTGTGATGAGAAGGAAGAACAGATATACATGGTAGATATACTCTAGAATAGATATAAGTTTTGGAGGTAGGATAGTGTGGAGTTTGGTTTCCTTTACATATAAATCCTTCAAAAAATTACTCCCTTCAAGCTTCTATGTAGGGAAGACATACTGAGCATGTCTTTGTCATTATTGTTAAACAGGAAAGTTCCATGTCCAGGGCACAGTCACCCCCGGTACCTGCCAGGAAAAATCAGCTCCGTGCAGAAGGTAGAGTTAACTACTAAACCTGTTACCTAGAGTATTTCCCTTTTTAACTTTTCATTTTGAAATAATTATAAACTCATAGAAAACTGCAGAAACAGTAGAGAGATAGGTGCTGTGTACCCTTTCTCCAGCTTTCCCCTGGGGTAACATCTTAGGTAGTACAGTCTCATAGCCAGGAAGTGGACATTGGTGTGCTCCACAGACCATCAGATTTTACCATTTTTTACATGCATTTATGTATGTGTATTTCTGTGCATTTTTATCATGTGCAATTTGTGCAAATACCACTGCAATCAAGATACAGAACTGTTCCATCACCATAAAGGAACTTCCTTGTGCCTCTCCTTTATAGTTGCCCTCCCACAAGAATATCGCTTTTAAAATTCCTATATTATAAAAAATGTACTTATGGGTCCTAATGACATTCATAATTATGATCTGTGTATGTGTGTATATATAAAATGTTAAAATATCTTTCATAAAATTGTCTCTGAGCAGTTTCACTTTATTATTAGTCAGGTTGTGTTTTAATGTTTAGTCTTTTGTTCTTATTCCTGTCGTGTTTTACTTATCAATGGGAATTTGCAGAGGAGAAAAAAAATGTAATTATGGAATTATCAGAAATGAGAAAACAACTTCGTAGTGAAGAGAGGCGTCTACAAGAGCGATTGCTACACATGGACAGTGATGATGAAATTCCTATCAGGCAAGTTTAGAATTGCACTTTTTGTTTTCTCTTGAGTTCTTTTACTTCACCTATGCAGTAATTTTGCAGTTTGGGAACAGGACTAATTCATCTTACTTAGAATCTCCTTACTTTCCTTTTCTTTGTCTTTTACAAAATCCGTTGTAGAAATTTAGTTCTCAAGGGGATTCATGTTGTAGGAATAGAAATTTCTGGGTTGGAATAATTACAGACAGTAGTTGCATTTTAGAACTGTTTTTTATATTTTCCATTAATAACGTAGCTTTCTGAAATACTTTTTTTCAACAAAATCACTTACAGGCTACCAAACATTTCTGATCATTTTTGCCAGGAGTCATAAATTTTTAAAGCAGTGTTCTTCAAACTTCAGTTTGCACTGTTTTAGTAGATTGTAAAATCAACATAGTGGGTAACTACCACAATTCCTTTCTTTCTCTTTTTAAAAATAAACTTTCTATTTTGGGATAATTTTGATTATAAAAAAGTTGCAGGCTGGGTGCGGTTGCTCACACCTGTAATCCCAGCACTTTGGGAGGCCAAGGCGGGCGGATCACAAGGTCGGGAGATCGAGACCATCCTGGCTAACACGGTGAAACCCCATCTCTACTAAAAATACAAAAAATTAACTGGGTGTGGTGGCATGCGCCTGTGGTCCCAGCTACTTAGGAGGCTGAGGCAGGAGAATGGTATGAACCCAGGAGGTGGAGGTTGCAGTGAGCCCAGATCACACCACTGCACTCCAGCCTAGGTGACAGAGTGAGACTCCGTCTCACAAAAAAAAAAGAAAAAGTTGCAAACAATACATAGAGTTTCTGTACACCCTTCATCTGGTTTTCCCTATTGTTAACGTCTTGTATTACCATGGTATGTTTGTCACAACTCAGAGGCTGACATTAGAACATTACTATGAACTAAATTTGAGACTCTTTGGATTTCTCCAGTTTTCTACTAATGTTCTTCTTCTGTTCATGGGCCCCATACAAGATGTACCACGTTGCATTTAGTTGTCATGTCTCCCAGTCTCCTCGGGTCTGGGACAGTTTCCCAGTCTTCTCTTATTTTTCTTGTGAAAGTCTGCATGGGCACTGGCCAGGTATCCTGTAGAATGCCTCCTTCTCTAGTCTGGATTTGTCTGATGTTTTCTGATTATTAGACTGGGATTAAGAGTTTCTGGAAAGAAGAGCACAGGCACTGTTCTGACATCACATTGTATCAGGGGTACACGATATCCACATGATACCTCTGGAAATGTTAACCTTGGTTAAAGTAGTGTTTGCCAGGATTCTGCACTAGAAAGTTAACTATTCTTTGGTCACAAATCACTAAATCTAGCACACCTGCAAGAGTGAGAAAGAGGTGGAATTAAGCTTCATCTCTTGGAGCAGGGGGTTACCCACATATAGTTTTTAGAATTCTTCCATAAGAAAGACTTGTCTCTTCTTCTTCCATTTATTTATTTATTCAGTCATTTATTTATTACTGTCATCTCATGTGTATTTATCTTACACTTTGGGTTATAAGTGAGTGCTACATTATTTTATTTCACAAATTGTTCCAACTTTGGCCATTTGGAGCTCTTTCAGGTTGGCTCCTGTGTCTCTTTGACATGTCCCCATCCTTTCATTTTTTGAAGACTTCTTTCCAGATGCCTCAGGATCATCTTGTATTTCCCCTACCCCATCCCTAGAATCAGCTATTTCTCCATTGAACCCTGGTTCCTTTTGGAGAATGTGTTTAGAAACCAGATAAGCTGGGTCTGTTTATTGCTGGGTGTCATTGCTTCTAGGCCCTCTGGATAATATATGTATGTATACTAAGTCATAAATATAAACATATCTATAATTGTTCCTATATCTATTTGTATATAAAGTTCATACCGATGTCTCTGACTCTAATCCAGTATGTGGTAGGATTTTAACGTAGCATGTTAATTTGCCTAATTACGCTTTGTTTAGATTTTTGTTTGTATTCTCTAGGAATATTGAAACAAGGTAAACAAGGTGAGGAAATTTCAAGATATAGATTGGCTAGATAATGAAATGTTATTCCAAGGTGGTAATTTTCAGTGATTCAGTAATTCTCCCATAGTAGGTCAATAAGTTCTAAACAATCGAGAGGTAGTGTTTTTTTTTTCTGTATTTACTTTTACAGTGTTATAAATGCCTTAACTGTGCAGCTTTCCATTTTCCAAACATGCATATTTAATTCAGTTTAATGTTTTTTTTTGACATTTTATTAATTTTTCTTTTCATTAGTAAATTCTTTTGGTAAACCAATATGATTTAAGAAAGAGTACTCAAGCAGTCCCTCAATTTTCTCACTTGAAAATTATACATGATAATTTCTACCCCTTGAGAGTCTAGTGAAGAATAAATAAATGTATGTATTTGAAATAAATAAATATATGTCTTTGTGAGTCTTAAGTTCTAACTTAAGTTATAAAACATGTTACATTTATCATCATTTAGCAAGAATTGGTTGAATACATTTACTTTGGAATAATTTTAATATATATTCTGATTAAAGACATCTCAGAGTTGGTTCTTTATTGCAATTTCATGAATATTTGTACAAAAGGAATCTCGTATTCACTAAATAATTTGCCAAATTATCCAGCTCCTATCATGTGCTAGGCTCAAAACAAATGTGATGTAGCTCACATGTGAAGATTTAATAACCTATTTCCTAACTTACCAGTGTATTTAACTATTAGCATTAATGGAAACTAGACAGCAGTCCAATTTAATGGTCTCTTAGACATCTTTTTAGTATTTTGCATTGTAATAAATCTCCATAGAGTTCCTTTCACCTTAGGTATTAGAGGTCTCTGTCAGCCTTGACCAGGGTCCTTTATGGCCCCAGTGAATGCTCCCCTGCAAAAAGGAAGCTCCAGTAGAGCAGGGGTATTGTCTGTGGGGATCCCAGCTATCTTGTCTTGGTGCTTAGGGAAGATTTAATGATAAAGAAATGATGGGAGGAGTCTGACTAAGCCTCATAATGACCATAACTTAGAGCTCCATTTTCAAAAATAGAGGAGACCTAGTGCTGAGTGAAGCAGCAGTAAGTATTTTTTTTTTTTTTTTTTCAGGACTAGAAACACCATCCCTCTTATCATCACTCCCTCAAGCCCTGGCAGAAAACTCCCTTACTACCTGCTATGTATTAATTTCCTAGGTACCCCAGGAATCAGTTAACTAGTTAGGGTATCAAGTTCCTTGTAAAGTCCATTGTAAAGTTAATGTTGGGTCCTCTGAATAATGCCCATATTGAACTACATATTAGTACCGTATTTCTATTTTTATTTTTATTTTTTTGAGACGGAGTCTCGCTCTGTCACCCAGGCTGGAGTGCAATGGCACGATCTTTGGCTCACTACAACCACTGCCTCCCGGGTTCAGGTGTTTCTCCTGCTTCAGCCTCCTGAGTGGCTAGGATTACAAGTACCCACCCCCACGCCTGGCTAATTTTTGTATTTTTAGTAGAAACATGGTTTCACCATGTTGGTCAGGCTGGTCTCAACCTCCTGACCTCAGGTGATCCACCTGCCTCGGCCTCCCAAAGTGCTAGGATTACAGCTGTGAGCCACTGTGCCTGGGCAGTACCATATTTCTTTTTCTTTTTTTGGAGACAGAGTCTCTTTCTGTCACCCAGGCTGGAGTGCAGTGGCATGATCTTGGCTCCCAGCAACCTCTGCCTCCTGATTCAAGCAATTCTAGTGCCTCAGCCTCCCAAGTAGGTGGGACTACAGGTGCAGGCTACCACACCTGGCTAATTTTTGTATTTTTTAGTAGAGACGGGGTTTTTTTCCATATTGCCCAGGCTGGTTTCAAACTCCTGAGCTCAAGCAATACGTCTGCTTCCCCAAGTGCTGTGATTATAGGCGTGAGCCAGAGGGCCCTGCCTATTACCATATTTCTATGTGTGATTTCTGTTTTAGGTTGAGGGGAAGGTAATTTATTGATTATCTAATGCATGTCAGGTACTATACTAGGTACTTAACAGTATAAAATTTATCTTAATTCTGACCCGATATTGTGGCTCACCCCTGTAATCCCAGCACTTTGGGAGGCTGAGGCAGGCGGATAACCTGATGTCAGGAGTTCGAGACCAGTGTGGCCAACGTGGCAAAATCCTGTCTCTACTAAAAATAAAAAAAAAAAAAGCTGAAGCCGAGTGTGGTAATGCATGCCTATAGACCCAGCTACTTGGGAGGCTGAGGCAGGAGAATTGCTTGAACTGGGAAGTGGAGGTTGCAATGAGCTGAGATTGTGCCAGTGCACTCCAGCCTGGGCAAGAGAGCAAGACTCTTTCAAAAAAAAAAAAAAATGTATCTGAATTCTGTTGTTCACAATAAGACTATAAGGGGTAGGCATCTGCATTTTACACATGATGAAATTGAGGTCAAACTGCTAATAAATAACAGAGCTGGTCTGAATCTCAGTTTCTCTGACCTTAGAGACTGTGATCTTCATACTCCATGAACATTTTATTTTTTCCATGAACATTTTAAAGTAAAGCTGAATCATTCTATTTTTGTAATAAGGTATCTTGCATCTGATGATTTTGAAAAATTTCAATGGCGTTATAAATATGCTATATTTTAAGGTAAATCGAACTAATAATAGAGCTATCCGAATAATTTTTATTTTTTTTAGACGGAGTCTTGCTGTGTCGCCGAGGCTGGAGTGCACTGGCACGATCTCAGCTCACTGCAAGCTCCACCTCCTGAGTTCACGCCATTCTCCTGCCTCAGCCTCCTGAGTAGCTGGGACTACAGGCGTGTGCCACCACGCCCGGCTAATTTTTTGTATTTTTTAGTAGAGACAGGGTTTCAATTCACTGTGTTAGCCAGGGTGGTGTTGATCTCCTGACCTCATGATCCACCCACCTCGGCCTCCCAAAGTGCTGGGATTATAGGCGTGAGCCAGCATGCCCGGCCAATTTTTTTTTTTAAGAGACCGAGGGCCGGGTGCGGTGGCTCAAGCCTGTAATCCCAGCACTTTGGGAGGCCGAGATCACAAGGTCAAGAGATAGAGACCATCTTGGCCAACATGGTGAAATCCCATCTCTACTAAAAATACCAAAAAATTAGCTGGGCCTAGTGGTCCAGCTCCTGTAGTCCCAGCTATTCAGGAGGCTGAGGAAGGAGAATTGCTTGAACCTGGGAGGCGAAGTTGCAGTGAGCCAAGATCACGCCACTGCACTCCAGCCTGGCAACAGAGCAAGACTCATTCTCAAAAAAAAAAAAGAGACAGGGTCTCCCTCTGTTGTCCAGGCTGGAGTGCAGTGGCATGATCACAGCTTATTGCAGCCTTGGCCTCCTGGGCTCAATCAATCCTCTTGTCTCAGCAGTAGCCAGGACTACAGGCACACACCATCATGCTTGACTTTTTTTTTTTTTTTTTTTGAGATAGAGTCTTGCTCTGTTACCCAAGCTGGAGTGCAGTGGCGTGATCTCGGCTCACCGCAGCCGCCTCCTCCCTGGTTCAAGCAGTTCTCATGCGTCAGCCTCCTGAGTAGGTGGTAGTACAGGCACACACTATCACGCCCAACTAATTTTTGTATTTTTAGTAGAGACAGGGTTTCATCATTTTGGCCAGGCTGGTCTCAAACTGCTGACCTCAGGTGATTTGCCTGCCTTGGCCTCCCAAAGTGCTGGGATCACAGGTGTGAGCCCCCATGCCCGGCCAACCTTTTTTTTTTTTTTGAGACGGAATCTTGCTCTGTTGCCCAGGCCAGAGTGCAGTGGTGTGATCTCAGGTCACTGCAGCCTACACCTCCTGGGTTCAAGTGATTCTGCTGCCTCAGCCTCCCGAGTAGCTGGGACTACAGGCGTGCGCTGTGACACCCAGCTAATTTTTGTATTTTTAGTAGACACGGGGTTTCTCCACATTGGCCAGTCTGGTCTTGAACTCCTGACCTCAGGTGATCCACCTGTCTTGGCCTCCAAAGTGCTGGATTGCAGGCATGAGACACCACGCCTGACCTCATTTTTTTTTTTTTTTTGTAGTGAGGGGATCTTGCTTTGTAGGCCAGGCTGGTATTGAACTCCTCATTTCAAGGAGTCCTCCTCTCTGCCTCCCAAAGTGCTGGGATTGCAAGTGTGAGCCACAGCACCTGGCCTAGAATAATTCTTTAATAATATGATGTGGTGAAAGAGACCAAATTTCTTTTACAGTGAATTAGATGTGAACTCACCTATTTTTCCTATAAAGCACATATTATGATTTGTCATTTGTCTATAGGAAAAGGGAAAGGAATCCCATGGATATATTTGATATGGCTAGACATCGGTTGCAAGCTCCTGTCAGAAGACAGTCACCTAAGGGCTTAGACGCTGCCACTTTTCAGAATATTCATGATTTTAATGAGCTGAAAGATAGAGGTGAGTAGATTGCTGCTCTTTTAAAGATGTAGCAGAAGTGTTCTACCCATATTTAAATATCTATAAAGATTTTTGTACCCTTTTTCTAAAGTAGAATTTTATCTATGATATATATTTTAAGTTAAAATGAAATGAAACTTCTGTATTCTCTAGGTCTTCAGTTAACCAGTCTGGTAGATGAAGCTTTAGTTTGACTAACTGCTGTCTTTTGAAGAGCATATAGTGTTAAAGTCTGGGATGGATGAGATCGCATAGACTAGTATGAAGAATGGAACTTGGCATTTAATGGAGGATGGACAGACAAAGATGAGCTCATGAAAAATACTGAGGAGAAGTCAGAGAGACTGGAGGAGAAGCAGGAGAATGTAGGATTCTGAAACCTGAGCGGAAAGAGTATCAAGGAGACAGGATCGTGTAAGATGAATACTGGAAAATGTCAGTTGGATGAGGTCATTGGTGACCTCAGCTAGAGCTTTTTAAGTGGAATGATCGCCGATTAACTTTGGAATGAGGATTTACTAGGAAACAAGATATTGGAAACAATAGGCATAAGACTTTTAGAAGACCCTTGGCTGGGAAAGGGAAGGGGAAGGAGAGGGGGAGGGATCAGGAGCTGGAAGAGTCCTTAGAATGTGAATGTGAGGAGCTATGCAGGAGAAAGAGGTTCAGGCTCTAGGAGAGGGAGAGTGATTGTTGAAGTGAGCAGGGCACCTGGGTAGGCAGGAGGAAATCTAGGGGGTTTGAGGGAAGAGTTAGGAGAAGCTTTGATGTAGTTACTTAGGACGAATAGAAGAGAAAGTTTAGTAGGGAAATGGGATTTCCAAGGTACATGAGGCCTGGGAGATTGAGAATGTGTGGAGGAACCAAAATGTGTGTTGTGTAATTTTCCTTTAGGCATATTCAGCAGAGCAGGTGTTGGAGCAGAAGGGGCAGATTATGGGATGTGTGGTCATATGACCTAGGCCAGAAAACTGGAATTTAAGCTTTTTATCCTTTTGAAAGTAATATCTGTTTATTGTAGCAAATTCTCAAAATACAGAAAGATAGTAAGAAGGAAAAATCACCTTAGTCAAACTACCTGTATGTAAGTACCATTATCATTTTGGATGTTTTCTAGTCTTTCTGAGCGTAATTAAAAGAAAAAAAAGATAAATTGTGTTATTTAATTTTCTCTATTGTTTTTCACCTAGATTTGCACGTATTATCAATTACATATACCATAGTTATTTTTTATGCTATCATATATTGATTACTTACTATCTGCCAGGCATTGTGTTAATCCAATGGGTCTCGTGAGAAGTTTGATCTGAAGTCAAAACTGTTTGTATTATAAACTAAGACATTATTTGTATCTTTCATTCTTATTCTCTCATGTGTATACAGATTGGCCAGAGACTACATGACATGTGATGATTTCATCTCTTTGAAGCTAGCAGAATGTGTCCTTGTATATTCTTGTGTTTTAAGAATCTCTTAGTTTTAACTTCTAATATGGCGTGTGTGTGTGTGTGTGTGTCACATACATAAGTAAAGCTCTTTGGGGTCCTCAATTTTTAAGAGTGTAAAAAAAAGATCTTGAGACCAAAAAGGTTTAAGCCATAGAATTGAGCCATTCATTTCCCTGTGTTACTACATCTTGCCCTCATTCACCAATGACCTGGTGGTTGGTATTGTTTTTTAATGAGTCTGGAAGCAGTGAAGCCAGGGACCAGTCCAAGTTTATGTGTCCAGAGACTTCTGTTAACTTCTGAAAATGGCTATTAGCCATTTTCACTATTTTGTTCTTTTGATAATTTCTGATCATAAAGCTTTATACATATTTAGGACCATAAAACTGTATATATATTTAGGCTTATTTATTTATATTCCAGCAGTGTAATTAGTGAGTCAAAGGGAATAATATTTTCAAGGCTTTTTATATGTATGAACTGTATGTTTCTTCTCACGATTTAAAAATTTTTATTCTTGGCTGGGCGCAGTGGCTAGTGCCTGTAACCCCAGCACTTTCAGAGGCCGAGGCAGGTGGATCACAAGGTCAGAAGTTCAAGACCAGCCTGGCCAACATAGTGAAACCCCATCTCTACTAAAACCTACAAAAAAAAAAAAATTAACCGGGCATAGTGGTGGGCACCTGTAGTCCCAGCTACTTGGGAGACTGAGGCTGGAGAATTGCTTGAACCCAGGAGGCAGAGGTTGCAGTGAGCTGAGATCATGCTACTGCACTCCAGCCTGGGTAACAGAGTAATACTTTGTCTCAAAACAAAACAAAACAAAACAAAATTTATTCTTGTTAGTGGATATTCATGGAATTGTGACAGAGGTAAATTCCTTCAGAAATGGCAATCCCCGGCTGCGGTGGCTCACGCCTGTAATCCCAGCACTTTGGGAGGCCAAGGCGGGCAGATCACGAGGTCAGGAAATCGAGACCATCCTGGCTAACACAGCGAAACCCCGTCTCTACCAAAAATGCAAAAAATTAGCCAGGCATGGTGGCGGGCACCTATAGTCCCAGCTACTCGGGAGGCTGAGGCAGGAAAATGGTGTGAGCCCGGGAGGTGGAGCTGGCAGTGAACAAGACCGTGCCACTGCACTCCAGCCTGGGCGACAGAGCAAGACTCCATCTCAAAAAAAAAAACAAAAACAAAAACAAACAAACAAAAAACAGAAATGGCATTCCTCATCAAGTTCCAGCCAGTCTACGTTTATCTTGCTTTCTGCATGATACTTGTAAGGACTAAACTATTAATTGGCCAGTAACATTATTTTTTCACGTTTCCAGTATATTCTAGAGATCAGCCGTGGTTACAGTGTCTCATGGCTGCCTTAGTCATAGCCATGTGACCATCTGCTTGGATATACCTGCACATAGTTTGTGTTCTGGGTGGCATCCTGGCGGGGCTAGGACAGGTAGAGATGGAGAATGCGGCATCCACTGCTTGTTCTGGGGTATTCCTTATGTTGGTAAGTTTGTGAAAAGGCACTTATTAAAGAATATTAATTTCATGTTCTTTAGTTTTGTGGCTATTTACTGTCCTTTGACTTTAGTGATGTTTCACTATTTATATCATTTCCTTGATTTTGAAATGAGGTTACTCATGTTACTTATAGTGAAGTTTTACAAAATCTCATTTGAAAACAACATTTAACTTAGTTATATAACATATTTTTTATACCAGATTCAGAAACACGAGTTGATCTGAAATTTATGTACCCGGATCCTCCAAGAGATTATCACACCTTAGAGATTCAGCAGCAAGCCCTGCTAAGAGAGCAGCAGAAGAGGCTGAACAGAATAAAAATGCAAGAAGGTGCCAAAGGTAAGAAATAATCATTGCTGTGTCAAATAGTATTAGCACGCTGTTTTTCGGTAGGCTTTCTGCATCTCTTCTGTTGATTTCAGTCCCAGGCATCCTCCCTTCACTGGCAGCCCCATGCTCTGTGAAGGGAGGGTCCATTTGGTCTGTAGTACCAGAAAAGAAGTATGAGAAAGGGCTCTGAGTGGCTCCACCAGGGTGGTGTATTCATGCATGACAGGGGCCTAGCCATTCACTGTAGCCAGGAGGACTGAATACTTTGACCAGGCCAGGTAACATCTGCATTAGGAACTAGAAACCAAAGGAAGGAGTGCCAGGCAAACATATCAGTGCCCTGTCATGATGTGTCGGGCATTTGTCTACTGTGCCATGTCAGGCATTTGTCTACTGTGGTGTGAGTGTGTTTAAGTTTTGATGTGGCGTAAAATGTGCAAAGCATCAGACTGGACTATGAATATGTTTTCGTATAATCAACCAATTGAAAGATACTTAGTGGTTACTAGGAGCGCAGGTACTGGCCTGTATCCAGGGATATGGTGATGAATGACATATGCTGCTGCTCTTGAGGAGGTTATATTTTGTTGGAGAAGTTAGATGCTAAAGAAGTGTAACTGTGATGAATATTGCACAGAAGAAATCCAGGATGTCGTTGGGTTGGGGTGGGTGGGTACCTAGAAGCAGAGTGGGGCTAGTTGTCTCAGAGAGCACTGATGGGGCCTGATGATAGCCAGGTGTACTGCATGGCCTTCCCATCTTTATTTCACCAGCTTTCAGGCCATCGAGGTTAACCATGGAAAATGAGTAATGAAAACACAACAATCAGATAACAAGAATGGAAGGGATGCTCCTGCCAGTTATTTTTAAGAAAATTTAAGACCCTATCTTGGGAGGCTGGTCTGACTCGCAGAATCTGAGGAAGCTTTTCTGACTTCATGAGAGCATCACAGGAGTAAGTGATGCAGCACTTTAGGCCCAGATCATAGGTCAAGACTTCAATAAACATATGCATAGGGATCGTCTCCCCTTCATCTGGTACAGAATTTTTAATAACAGCCTCATAGCCCTGTGACAGAATAAGCCTAATTCTAGGATAAGCAGTAGGTGTATCACCTGGAGAGAGGAGAGAAGCAAGTACATTCTTTAACCTTTGTACCCAGTCTGGTGGCATTTTTCTTTAGTCTCAAAATGAAGGTCTGATCTTGTGGGATTTTGGCATCTTAGACTGATTAGCCCAAAAGTAGTCCCCAGGTGGATACAGGTACATTTTGGCACTGGAGGTATCTATCTCCCACAGTAGCCACCCCCCAACTGCCAGTAGACACTATGATGACCTAATTCATAAGAATATGATCTCACTGGCTGGGTGTGGCGGCTCACGCCCGTAATCCCAGCACTTTGGGAGGCCGAAGTGGGCAGATCATGAGGTCAGGAGTTCAAGACTAGTCTGGCCAACATAGTGAAACCCCCGTCTCTACTAAAAATACAAAAATTACCTGGGCATGGTGGCGTGTGCCTGTAGTCCTAGCTACTCTGGAGCCTGAGTCAGGAGAATTGCTTGAACCCAGGAGGTGGTGGTTGCAGAGAGCCGAGATTGTGCCACTGCACTCCAGCTTGGGCAACAGAGTGAGACTTCGTCTCAAAAAAAATAAATAAATAAAAAAGAATATGGCCTCACTGTAAACAATCACAAATATGTCTATTAAAATATAGGAAAAGGAATACAGGCTATCATTGGCAACTTGTTTATTCTTAAAGGCAGTATCTAAAAAGGGCAAAATGTGCTATTCACAGGAACACATAGGAAGTCTGGTCATATTGCAGAGGCTTTGGGATACCTGATCCAAGATCTTTGCTTCGGGAACTAAGTGCCTGGAATTGAGCTTATTTCAGTTCCATGTGAGGGAGCCCCTATTTAACTCCATGCAACAACTTTCTACAGACTGTAGAAATCTGACAAGATGGTGAAGGATCCTGCATTGATCATTTTCTTTTTCTGTTGGCATTAGTTTTACGTTTGCAATGATTTTACTTGTTATGTTCATTCATGTGAATGGGAGAATTTTATGCAGCTAGAATGGATGCAGGGCTGTGTTTATTAATAAGTGATATCTTTAAAATATTCTAAAGTGTGATAGTTGAAAAGTAATTTCCAGTAGAGAGCTAGTCAAAAAGATATTCTAAAATTTAATTTTATATAGTAAGCAATTTCTGACCTTTTAATTTGCTTTTGTTCTTCATTGACTTACAGTTGACTTAGATGCCATCCCAAGTGCTAAAGTACGAGAGCAAAGAATGGTAAGCAACCAGTTATAATTTTTCAAGTTAGTTTTTGGGGGATTAAAAATCTATAAGCATATGATGATCAAGTAATTCAAATTTTGAATTATTCAGGAATACTGAATTAAGAATGTAAGTCTTATCAGTAAAGTGGATAGCTTGAGAAGTGTTAGTATAATATATAGAGAAAACATATCATAATGGCTAAGAACAAGATTCTAGCACTAGGCTGTTCCAGTTAGTCTATTTTTAGCTGCGTGACTTAGGGCAAGTTATTTAATCTCTTTATGCCTCAGCTTCCTAATCTGTAAAATGAGGATAATAGTACTTAAATTAATATTTGCAAGGTACTTAGAAACAGGCCTGGCATATAAGTTTTTATAAGTGTTTATTAAATAAATAAAAATAGCTCAAGTGCTGTTGTTAGAACTGAGATAATATATTAAAAGCCCTTACAGCAGGCCTGGCCCATGATGAGTGCAGTGTGAGTGTTTGCTGTCATTAGCATGAGCAGTAGTGGGAGTGGGAGTCTGTTATGGAAATAGTGTTGAGGTCTACAAAGAAAATAAGCAAAGGAAGAGAACAGAGAATGATAACACCCACCTGTATCCTAAGGGGGGCACTTTTTGTGCAAGACTGAATAAAGGGACAGGATGAGCTCTTTTCATTCAACAAATATTTATTATTTCCTATGGACCAGAAACTGTTCTAGGTGCCGGGGTATAAGAGTAAACAAAAGGGACAAAAATCCCTGCCCTCTGACAGCTTACATTGCAGAAGGAGGGAGAGACAGTAATCAAATAAATCAATAGTTTGTTGAATCATGGTGCTGTGGAGAAGACAACAGCAGAGAAGGCAGCTGGAGCATCCTGGGTGGGAGGGTTTATAGTTGGAAATACAGTGGGCATGGGGGCTCACTGGGTAGGTAACATTTGAGTAGGGACACCAGGGAGGTGTCCATGGAAAATGTGGGGGAACTTCTGGAGGAAGAACATTCCAGGAAGAGGCCCCTGTGGGAGCTGGCCTAGTGCATGTAAGGAGCAGTGGGAGAGCCATGAGCAAGGGCCAGTTGGACACATGGGGCAGGGGGTGACGAGGTGAGGCAGCAGGGCCTTGGGGGCCATTCTGGGGCTTTGCCTTTGACACTTGTGCATGTGATGAGAAGCTGCCAAGGTCTTTAAGTGGAGGAGTGACATGATCTGCTTGAGGTTTTTACTTGATCCACTGACTGCTTGCATTTAGACTGAGTGGGGCAGGAGGCTATTGCAGTAATTTAGGCAAGAGACAAGCTCACTTTCTGATAATGAATGCAGTGCATCAGTGTAATTCATTGCCTTAAAAATTAATGGACAGCTCTTTGCTGGAGTGTCTTAATGAAGCCCAGAAATCTGCTAAGAAGGTGCAGGTAGGTGGAGTTGGATGACTTTAGGTTCCTTCTGACATGTTGGTGATGATTATTCTGTACTGCAAAATTCTCTATATGTAAATTTAAGTTTTCTCTCATTTGGGAGCTCATTATAATAAGCCCAATCTTAGCATTTTTTTCCTTACTATAATATGTGCTCCACTGTATCTGTGCTGCATCATTGTGACAATTGCTGTCACATAGGGCTGTCATAATCTGAGAGTATACCCCCCTCTCTCCCATGACACTGTGATCTACTCCAGAGCAGAAACTCTTAATTCATCTTTGTATCCCCAGTTCCTAGCATGAAAGAAATAGTAAGTGGGCTATACAGGTTTATGGAAATTCAAATGAATGAATCTTGGCAGTGGCTTAAAAACTTAATGTTTAATTGGGGTCTTTGCTTCATACTCTATTATATTTTCCATCAGTCATAATGTGATCCTTTTATTTGACTTCAACCATAAAGGGGCAGGAAGGAGTGGAGTTAGGGAATAAATGTGTGAGCTTGTAGAATCTGTAGCCTGGAGAGATACTGTCCTGTGTTGCTATCACCGTCTTCATAGGAATTGTGTGTGTTAAGTTTTTCCAGTATTTTCTGAGCATTGGAATGTAGTCAGTCCTACCTCTCCCCATCCTCTTCTGCTTTTAGGGAGAACAATGTGGAAACTTGTGCCTCTTCTTAGTACAAATTTGTTGTTTTTCCACACAAAACTAATAAAAATAGTCATTGAAACATGTTTCTTTTAGCCCAGAGATGACACTAGTGATTTCTTGAAAAACTCATTATTGGAATCTGATAGTGCTTTTATTGGTGAGTATATTTATTTTATTAAGGCTATATTATTTAAATATTAAACCTTTCTCCATACTTAAAAACCAGTACTGTATTCTTTGTTGTACAAGGTAGTAAAAAAAAAAAAAAGGAATATTTTTTTTTCTGTTTTAATGAGTAATCATCAGATATTCCTTGCAAAGTTTTCAAAATCACAATTACTGAAATGAAATTTAAAAGTCTTAGGAATAGTTGACAAACCTGTACATGAATGTTCATAATAGCCTCATTTCTAATGCCAAATGCTGGAATCAGCCCAGATGTCCTTCAGTAGATGAATGGTTAAACAAACGCTGGTACATCCATGCCATGGAATACCACTCAGCAATAAAAAGGAACAAAGTTTTGAAACTTGGATGAACTTGGATGACTCTTCAGGGAAATAGTCTGAGCAAAAAAGACAATCCCAATACATTACTGTATGATTCCATTTACATAACATTTTTGAAGTTACAGAATTAAGAAATTGAGAACAGATTTAGTGGTTGCCAGGGGTTGAGAGATAGGAAGAGGTGTATATAGTTATAAAAGGGCAAGAAGAGGGATCCCTGTGGTTTGGGAACTATTTAACAACTTGTTTGCAGGGGTAGATACACACATGTAAATGGGAAATAAAATAATAATAATAGATCTTAATACACACATAAAAACACAGAAATGGGTATTGGTAAGATAGTAAATTGGAATCTGTGGGTTGTATCAGTATCAATATCCTGGTTGTGAGATTATACTTGAGTTCTGCAAAATGTTACCATTGGGGGAAACTGGACAAAATGTATAAGGAATCTCTACTATTTCTTATACCTGTGTGTGTACCTTAATTATTTTAATCTATTTATAGTTATCTTAATATTTCAGTCAAAAAAGTCATAAGACTATTTTATTTAGTCTTCAGAAGATAAGTAAAGGTACCATGGGATCTTTTTTCTTAAAATAGTATACACTTATGATTATGTACTCTGATCATGAGTGTTTCTGCTATCCTAGGGCCATCAGGGAATGATCTAGTCTACATATTAGCTGTATTTCAGGCCAATTACTTTAGATATTCATGTGATAAAATTTCAAATTAACTTGTATTTTTCTCTTAATGGTTTTTTGTTGTTGTTGCTGCTGTTTTTGAGACAGGTCTTGCTCTGTCGCCCAGGCTGGAGTGCAGCAGCACAATCATTGCTCACTACAGCCTCAAATTCCTGGGCTCAAGTGCTCCTCCCATCTCAGCCTCCCCAGTAGCTGGGACTACAGCATGTACTACCATACCCAGTTATCTTTTTTATTTTTTGTAGAGATGAGGTCTCCCTATGTTGCCCAGGCTGGTCTCAAACACCTGGACTCAAGGGATCCTCCTGCCTCAGCCTCCCAAAGTGCTGGGATTACAGACATGAGCCACTGTACGTGGTCTTTTTTTTTTTTTTTTTAATGAATTTTTCCTTTCCAAGGAAGATGCACTGGAGAGAGAAGGAAAAATAAAACAGCAGGAGACAGGGATGGGAAGATTGCTTGTCAGGGAAATGAGACCTGTCCTTCCTAACAGTGAAGATGGTCTGGGCCATTCAAGATGGTGTGTTGGAGTATTGCATGACACTAGAGCAAAGATACAGCAGTCTTTATGGTTAACAGTGACTGCAAATGCTGTGTAAGTCATGGCTGTGTTAACCACTGCTCTAAGGAATGTAAAGCTGGTGGTTTCAGTGCATTATTTTTAAAAAGTAGGGTTTTTTAAATTGTAAAATACACATAAACATAACGTTTACCATTTTAACCATTTTAAAGTGTACAGTTGACTGGCATTAAGTATTTCTATTGTGCAGCCACCACTATCATCCATCTCCAGAACTCATCTTGAAAATAGAAACTCTTCATATGAAACAGTAATTCCCCATTGCCCTCTCCCTCCAGCCCCTGGCATCCAACATTCTACTTTCCATCTCCATAAATTTGACTACTCTAGGACCTCATGTAAGTGGAATCATACAGTATTTATCCTTTGATGACTGGTGTATTTCACTTCACATAACGTCTTTGAGGTTTATCCATGTTATAGCATGTGTCAAATTTTCTTTTTTTTCCCCTTAGAGACAGGGTCTCCCTTGCTACCCAGGCTGGAGTGCAGTGGTGTGATCATGGCTCACTGCAGCCTTGACCTCCCTGTGCTCAGATGATTCTCCTACCTCAGCCTCCCAAGTAGCTGAAACTACAGGCACACACTCACTACCATGCCCAAATAATTTTTGTATTTTTTGTAGAGACAGGGTTTCACCATGTTGCCCAGGTTGGTTGCGAACTCTTGAGCGTAAGTGATCCTCCAACTGTGGCCTCCCAAAGTGCTGAGATCACGGGTGTGAGCTACCACACCCAGCCAGATTTCCCTTTTTATGCTGTGAATATATTCCATTGTATGTATGTACTGTGTTTTGTTTATCCATTCATCTGTCAGTAGACACTTGAGTGGCTTCCACCTTTTGGCTGTGGTGAATAATGCTCCTACGAATAGGTGTACAATTAGCTGTTGGAGTCACTGCTTTCAATTCTTTTGGGTATACACTAACAGATAGCATTTGCTAGATCATATAGTAATTCTATTTTTAATTATTTGAAGTCTCACCACATGGTTTTCCACAGCAGCTGCACCATTTTACATTCCTACCAGCAGTGCACAAAAGTTCTGATTTCTCTACATCCTTGTTAACACTTATTACTTTGTTTTTTGAATAGTAGCAATCTTTATAGGTGTGAAGTGGCATCTCATTGTGGTTTTGACTTACATTTCTGTAATGATTAGTGATGCTGAACATCTTTACATGTGCTTACTAATTGTACATCATTTTTGAAGAAATATCTATTTAAGACCTTTTCTAATTCTTAAAATCAGATATTTTTTGTTGTTACTGAGTTGTGGGAGTTCTTTATTATCTATTCTGGATCTTACCCCTTATCAGATACATGATTTGCAAATGTTTTCGACATAGTGGGTTGCCTTTTCACTCTGTTGGTTGTGTCCTTTGATACATAGGAGCTTTTAATTTTGGTACAGTCCAATTTATCTTTGCTTTTGTTGCCTGTGCTTTTGGTGTCACATCTAAGACATCATTGCCAAATCCAATACCATGAAGCTTTCCTCATATGCTTTCTTCTAAGAGTTTTATGTATAGTTTTAGCTCTTAACGTTTAGATGCCTAACCATGGAGTGTCAAAATACATGTCAGAAAGCGAAAGAATGGCAAGGAGAAATAGATGAATCCACTATTATGGTTAGAGATTTTTAACAATCAGTAAGGACATAGTTGAGTTCTGCAACACCATCAACCAACTGGATATAATGGACGTCAAAAGACACCTTCATTAACAACAACAGAACACATACTCTTCTCAGGGTCACATGGAACATTCAGCAGGACAGATTACAATCTGGGAAAGAAAACAAACCTTAACAGATGTAAAAGAAGATAAATCATACAATATCTGTCCCCAGACCACAATGGAAATAAACTAGAAATCAATAACAGAAAGATAGCTGGAAAAATCTCCAAATACTTTGGAGATTAAATGCCACATTTCTAAATAACTCATGGGTCAGAGAAAAAATATGAAAATACATTTTAAAACAACTTGATCTAAATGAAAATGAAAATACAACTTCTCAATTTGTAGGAGGTAGCAGAAATAACGCTTGTCTTTCTACTTTCCTAATGTATGCATTCAGTTAAATGTAGAATGCCAAACTCTAAAACCCACAGAAGATAACAAAAGAAAATCTAGACAACCTTGGGTATGGTGATGACTTTTAGATACAAAACCAAAGTCATAATTTATGAAAGAAATAACTGATAAGCCAGACTATGTAAAAGTTTTAAAAATTGGTAATTTTTTTTCTTTTTTTAGATAAAGTCTCGCTGTTGTCCCCAGGCTGCAGCATGATGGCATGATCTTGGCTCACTGCAACCTCCGCCTCCCGGTTCAAGCGATTCTCCTGCCTCAGCCTCCTGAGTAGTTGGGATTACAGGCGCCTGCCACCACACCTGGCTAATTTTTGTATTTTTAGTAGAGATGGGGTTTCACCATGTTGACCAGGCTGGTCTCGAACTCCTGACCTCAGGTGATCCACCTGCCTCGGCCTCCCAAAGTGCTGGGATTATAGGCATGAGCCACTGCGCCCGGCCAAAAATTGGTAATTTGTTAAGATACTCAAATTTATAACATTGACTGCATACATGAAGAAAAGTAGAAAGATCTAAAATCAGTATTCTAAGCTTCCACATACGAAACTTAGAAAATAATTAAATCCAAAGTAAGCAGGAGAAATAAAAATTGGAGCAGAAATCCATGCAACTGAAAACAGGAAATCAATAGAGGAAATTAATGAAACCAAGAGTTATTTCTGAGAAGATCAGTAAGCCTCTAGCCAAGCTAATAAGAGAGAAGACACAAATTACTAATATCAGAGACAGGGCATATCTGGCTGGGCATGGCTCACACCTGTAATCCCAGCACTTTGGGAGGCTGAGGTGGGTGGATCACCTGAGGTCAGGAGTTCGAGACCAGTCTGGGCAACTTGGCAAAACCGGGTGTCTACTAAAAACATAAAGATTAGCTGAGCATGGTGGCGCATGCCCGTAGTCCCAGCTACCTGGGAGGCTGAGGCAGGAGAATTGCTTGAACCAGGAGGTGGAGGTTACAGTGAGCTGAGATCGTGCCACTGCACTCCAGCCTGGGTGACACAGTGAGATTCTGTCCAAAAAAAAAAAAAAAAAGGAATATTTTTTTTTCTGTTTTAATGAGTAATCATCAGATATTCCTTGCAAAGTTTTCAAAATCACAATTACTGAAATGAAATTTAAAAGTCTTAGGAATAGTTGACAAACCTGTACATGAATGTTCATAATAGCCTCATTTCTAATGCCAAATGCTGGAATCAGCCCAGATGTCCTTCAGTAGATGAATGGTTAAACAAACGCTGGTACATCCATGCCATGGAATAC